TTTTTTTTGAGAAGTTTTTGCTATAGGGTGCGTGTGCTCGCCAGAAAGAGAGAGACAGAGATAGAAAGTGAGAAATCACCCCCCCAGGGGGGATGGCCACGCCGCAATCCCTTCTCCTCCATTCTCCTCTCGGGATCTTGGGCACGCACGCACATGTGCCCAGCGTGAGTTTAAGCCTCCAGGTCCAGGACTCGAACCGCTGTCGACTACATGGGAGTCCAGCGACATAGCCATTACGCTAACGGCTCGTCCCTGCATTTCCAGTTTGTGAATGCCAGTTACTGATTTAAAACTAAGAGCCCTGTGTCCTTTAAACAAAATGCACTATTGGGTTAGATAGTGCCCGTGGGCTCCTGACCACAACCTGAGGCTTGGTTGAGCCTCTTTCCCATGTGGGTGCAAAGTGGAGGCTCAGAGAAGGCCAGGCCCTGCTCAGAGCTGCCCAGCAAATGCGGAGAACGCAGTCAGGGTTGGTGCCTGACGGTCTTTATCACACTGCTGGGCCTGGAGCGTGGGGGCAGCTGAGCCCGAGCTCTGGAGCCACCGGGCTGTAGACAGAGGTGATGCTGCTGGTCAGGGGCCAGGCCACCTGGGAGCTAGCTGTGGGTTGTGTGTGTGAGCAGGACAAAGGGACAGAAGTGGGGGACTGGATGGTGGGGCGGGGCTGGCTCGGAAGGAAGTTTCCCTGCAGGAGTTCTAGAAAGCTCTGCGCACATGTGGCTGAGTCCTGTCCTCTGGTCAGTACATTGCTTCTGGTGCATGTGCGTGCATGTGTGTGTGTGCGCACATGTGTGTATGCGTGAGTGTGAGTGAGAGAGATATAGAGAGAGAATAGGAGGATGGGAGGGAGTTAGGTCTCAGTCCAGCTAAGGTTTTCTTTCCTGTTGAGCGAGGACCCCCTACCCCCTGCGTCCTGTCCCCCAGGGGCCTTTTGACAGTCAGTTGGAATGGAAGCCCATACTCTCTCGGTGGCTGTGGCTGGCTGCCGATCTCAGTGCCTTTATGGAGCTGTCCACCCTCCTTAGGTGGCACGTTACCCCGAGTCCCTTAGAGCCTGGGACTCCCCTCGGAGTCGGGGACTCTGGCCCTTGCCTGAGTGCGGGCCCCTGTCTCCAGCCTCCTTACTGGGCAGTTGGTTCCTAGGCTTTTCAAACTGGGCACACTCCAAACCAGACTCACGTCTTCCCCGGCCTTCACCCCCAGCCTCCCCTGCCTTAGGCCATTGGAGCTCCCTCTTCCAGGCACGTAGGAAGACCCTGACTCCTCTGGGGCTCCTCTTCCGTCTCAGGCCACCCAGTCGTCGGCAAGTCCTGCCAGTTCCGCCTTCCACATAAATCCCTTCGTACCTCTCATCCCTGACTGGCCTGGCTGCCTCCCACCTCCTTCCTGCCCGAGCGCATCTCTGACTCCACACCACAGCCAGGAAGCCCTTTCACTGGAGAGCTGGGGTAAGGCCTCTTGGGCTTCCGGGCTCCAGGGTTGCTGTCGCTGTAACCAGCCTGCCCTCGGCGTCCATGGCCTTCCTCCTTCTGTCCCAGCCAGGGTGGCCCTCTGCTGCTCCTCACCTGCGGCCTGCTGGTCCTGCCTCGGCCTTTTGCCCTTGCTGTTCCCGCCGAATGACATGCTTTGCCACCAGGGAGACCGTTCGGGTGTTAGCTCAAAGCCCACCTCCTCAGAGAAGGCTCCCTTGCCCACTCTGGCTAAAACAGGCTCAGCCACCCAGCTGTTCGCTGTCTCCGCTTCCCTGCTTTTGTTCGTTTATTTCTTCATTGTCCTTGTTAGGTCTGGCATTCAGTTTTGTCCAGAATTGAACTCGGCCTTAGGATCTAGTGTGCCCGCCTTCATCCTCCACCCCCCAAACCAGCACCCGGAGATGGCCAGGACGCCAGTCCCTACAGGTGCCTGCACCGAGGAGGCACCTGTCAGCCCACCATGCCAGCCACCAGGGTTGCCTGCAGCCACTGTTGGTGGGGACAATCCGGACTGTCACTCAGTCACTGCCCTGGGCCCAGGCCGAGCTCCCAGGGCTCTGGGCCAGCTCGCCTGTCCCTGCTTGGGGCTGGCCCAGGAGGTGAGTGTCTGTTTCTGCAGATACTCTGCTTTTTTCCCCCTTTTTTTTTTTTTTTTTGAGAGGTTTTCGCTATAGGGTGCGTGTGCTTGCCAGACAGACAGAGAGAGACATAGAGACAGAAAGCAAGAAATCACCCCCCAGGGGGGATGGCCATTCCGCAATCCCTTCTCCTCCATTCTCCTCTCGGGATCTTGGGCACGCATGCACACGCGCCCGGCGTGAGTTTTAAGCCACCGGGTCCGGGATGCGAACCACGGTCGACTATGTGGGAGACCAGCGACATAGCCATTACGCTAACTGCTGGTTCCCACCCTTTTTCCCCTTTTCTTTAGAAATGTTTAAAAAGTTACTACTTTTTAAACTTTGAAATGATAGACACTTAAACTATTAGAGATTTTACCTCATTACCTTTTCATTTTGTTTTTGAATCAGACAGTTTTATTTTTAAAATAGATTTTTGCCATAGGGCCCATGTGCTCACCAGAGAGAGAGACAGAGATAGTGAGAGGGAAAGCGAAAACTTGCCCCCTTGAAGGCATGGCCATGCTGCAATCCCTTTTCCCTTTATTCTTCTCCTGGGACCGCGGGCATGCATGCACACACAAGCACACGCTAGCACATGCTCCTGGCATGATTTTCAAGCGACCAGGTCCAGGACTTGAACCGCAGTCAGGCATGTGGAAGTCAAATCAGACAGTTTTAACAATGCATTTGCCAGCATTAGCGCAGCGGCGGGCCTGGGGGCGGTGCAGAGGAAGCCATGCCTGTGACTTTGGAGAGGCAGGCGGTCCAGGTGGGGCAGGCCTGGGTCCCCAGTCACGGTGGGGCTGAGGACCAGTGACTTTTGCAAGGGCTGAGGTCCGGAGAGTGAGGACTGGCTGGAAGGCCGCATTTGAGTGGCTCTGGAGGATGCCGATGAAGGAGAGAGCCCTGGAGTACCGAGGCCCTGAGAGGGTCAGTCCGAGTGGATGCTGTAGGGCTTTAGGGTTCAGCGTAGTCGGAAATCTGGGCCTTTCCTTGCTGACAGCAGGAAGCCAGGGCAGCCTGGGGGGCTGTGGCATGCTGGGCGGGGCCTGCTGTCTCAGATTGCTTGCCTCCAGAGAACAGGGCACTGGGTGAGGGCAGGGAGACAGCTAGCGTGTCCCAGGGCAGAGGGCAGGTGAGGTTGGAGCTGGTGCAGGGCTTGGTGATGGAGGAGAGGGGCCCAGGGAGGGGAGAACTCTCCAGAGAGAGAATACACAGAACTGGGGACTGTGGGGGAGGTGTTGGGGACAGCAAGGTGTCCAGGATGCACTTACTGGGCAGCTGAGCAGGTGGGCAGGCGTGGCCCTTGGGGCTACCCGTGCAGGCCAAGGGCATCTTGCAGGATTGTCGTGGGAGCTTATTCCTACCAGCGTCTGCCACTGACCAGATTCTCTGCAGCAGCCAAGGGCATGAGCGGGATTTTTATTTTGGAGAGATTTTTGCTATAGGGCGCGTGTGCTCGCCAGCCAGACAGAGAAAGACAGAGAGACAGAAAGCAGGAAATCACCCCCCAGGGGGGATGGCCATGCCGCAATCCCTTCTCCTCCATTCTCCTCTCAGAATCTTGGGCATGCACGCATATGCACCCGGCGTGAGTTTAAACCACCGGGTCCGGGACGCGAACCGTGGTCAACCATGTGGGAGTCCAGCGACATAGCCATTATGCTAACTGTTGGTCCCTGGAGCAGGATTTTTGAGGGAGAGAAATGTTTGGGTGGTCATGTGTGTGCATACATGTGCATGGAATTGTCCGTGTAAGATCCCTGTGGGTATGTCCTGCCTATGGAGGTGCCGTGTGTGCAGCTGCATGGGGCACGATGTCAGATCCCTGGACGTGTGTCCTGGTGAGCGAGTGTGACCGAGTAAGGGTGCAGGTGTGTGTGGATGTGTGTGTGAGACACTTTGAGTGAGGAGCCCAGGATCAGACAAGTGTACGTGTGTGTGTGTGTGTGGGGGGGGATCCACGTCGGTAACTCTGCCTCTCACCGGGGACCCTGCACTGTTCGTGGACCTTTGTCACATGTCGCTGAGCCCGTGTGTTTCCCAGCCAGCCTGACAGTGTGTGCACGGAAGGAGCGGTTGGGAGTGAGGGTGGCTAGGTCGCCCCACGTGTGCACATGCTGGTATGTGTGTGCGGGCCATGTGTGTGCCTCTGGTTCTCACAGGCTTCCTTTCCGATCCCCCCAGGGCCTCCCAGGAGAGGAAACGTCCTGAGCTGGCTTGGACCATGGCGCTGCTCGGGGAACCTGCAGGAGCCTGGCTGGCTCTCACGCTGGCCTTGGCCCTGGGCCCACGCACGGGCGGGGCGGCCCCACGGCAGGACTGCACGGGTGTCGAGTGCCCGCTGCTGGAGAACTGCATCGAGGAGGCGCTGGAGCCGGGGGCCTGCTGTGCTACGTGTGTGCAGCAGGGCTGTGCCTGCGAGGGCTACCAGTACTACGACTGCCTGCAGGGCGGCTTCGTGCGCGGCCGCGTGCCTGCAGGCCAGTCCTACTTCGTGGACTTCGGCAGCACCGAGTGCTCCTGCCCGCCGGGCGGTGGCAAGATCAGCTGCCAGTTTATGCTGTGCCCAGAGCTGCCGCCCAACTGCATCGAGGCCGTGGTGGCGGCCGACAGCTGCCCACAGTGCGGCCAGGTAGGCTGCGTCCACACTGGCCGCAAGTACGCTGCCGGCCACACCGTGCACCTGTCGCCTTGCAGGGCCTGCCACTGCCCTGATGCCGGTGGTGAGCTCATCTGCTACCAGCTCCCTGGTTGCCATGGGAACTTCTCAGATGCCGAGGAGGGTGACCCTGAGCGACACTACGAAGACCCCTACAGTTATGACCAGGAGGTGGCTGAGGCAGAAGCAGCAGAAGCAGCTGCAGCCCTGGCGGGCGAAGTTCAAGCAGGCGTCGGGGGCCCTCCTGCTGCCCTGGGAGGTGGGACTCAGCCGCTGTCTACCATTCAGGCAAGCCCCTGGCCAGCCGCCCTACCCAGGCCCACAGCAGCTGCTGCCCTGGGCCCCCCGGCCCCTGTGCAGGCCAAAGCCAGGAGAGTGACAGAGGACAGAGACGAGGTGGAAGAGGAAGAGGAGGAGGAAGAGGAGGAGGAGGAGGAGGAGGGCGAAGAGTTGGCTGCTACTGAGCAGCTGCCAACTGGTGGCCCCAAGGGCCTGGATGAATTGCCCACCACAGCCCCCGTTGGACCTGGTCTCCCTGTGCAAGAGAAGGAGGTGGAAGCCAGAGCAGGACCTGAAGAGAACCTCATCCCGGAAGCGCAGGCCACCCTCCGCAGTCCTGGGCAGGAGGCAGCCGCACTTGTGCTGGGATCAGGCATGGCTGGTCTTACGTCCCAGCCTGTGCCGAGCTCTCCTGGGGACCTGGTCAAGCCTAGCAGCCACACCATCCCTTCCGTGCCACCATCTGACACAGCTCCAGTCCCACCCACCCAGGAAACGCCCAAGAAGCCACAGGTTCTGCCCCGTTCCCGAGCAGAGGAGGACACAGACCCCAACTCTGTCCATTCCATTCCCAGAGGCAGCACTGAAGGTAAGACCCTTTCCTGGCGCCTCCCGGGCTTCCTTGGGGCTCTGCTTACTGCCCCGTCTCTGCACAGCTGCCGGACACAGGGAAGCCGGGTCTGTGGCGGTGGACTGGGCAGGCTGGAGGCTCTGGGATAGCTCTTTGCTCAGCTCCAGTTCTGGGGGACGGAGCAGTGGTGTTGGGGGTTGGGTGCTGGTCCTCCGTAAGACTATGAGGACCTGGTAGGTGTACCTCAATGGAGCTGAGGGTTCCCTAAGAGGGCCCTGCCAAGACCTGCTGTGCTGTGCTCACACCCTTTCTGACGGAGGCCTCTGGGCATCTGCATCCTTGGTCTCTTGAAGTAGCTGTAGAAAGAATGCATTCTCTTACAGGAGGCTCCTTCCGAGAGCCGGGTACCAGCTCTGCCACTCCTTCTAGGCAAGGATCCTGTTGACATGCTGGCTGGCCCTAGGCCCTCCTCGGGTCAGCATACTGCCATGGCTCCCATGTGCTCAGAGTGGAAGCCCAAGTCGTCACGGTGGTCATCGGCTCTGTCTCCTGTCTCCTTGCCCACTCCGCTCAGCCCTGTTGGCCCCCTGGCCAGGCCCCTGCCTGCCCTAGAGCTCTGCACTGCCTCTCTCTTCCTGAAATATTCTTCTGGGAGGCCCTGTGGCTCACTTCTTTCCTCCACTCAGCCCCCTGCTCAGGTCACCTCCACAGAGGGGTCTTCCCTGACTACCCACTTTCCTTTGACCCTGCTTTAATTTCTCCTAGCAGTACCTCCCATTGTAGTGCAAAACTGAGAGGGTAGACGAAACTGGAAGGACACAAGGCCGAAGATGGAGCCACTGTAGCCAAGCTCCCACGGTGCATTAGAAATGACTTGCACACAGGACACAGGACAGAGCTCGCAGCCGTGGTTCACCTCGTCACAGGCTGCAGCACAACCTAAAGCGATCACAGTGAGAAAGACAGGGTCAGTTGCCCCCCAGAAAACTTTGTAATAGATTACCTTAATTGTCAGTCAGGGCAGGGAACCAACAGTCTGACTTTATAGACAATTTTAGTTTTTTTGAAGCCTACTTCCTTGTCAGAGAGCCAGCCCTTTACTCGGACTGCTAGATAAAAACGGCCGAGAAGAGCCCCAAGTTGGCTACTGTCTTTCAGGACCCTCCCCATTTAGAAGCTTTTTTCTTTTGTTAATCCTGCTTTGCTACTGCTGCTTTTTTTCTTTCTTTCTTTTTTTTTTTTTTTGGAGAGGTTTTTGCCATAGGGCACGTACACTTGCCAGAAAGACAGAGAGAGACAGAGAGACAGAAAGAGAGAAATCACCCCCCAGGGGGGAAGGCCACGCCGCAATCCCTTCTCCTCCATTCTCCTCTCGGGATCTTGGGCACGCACGCACATGCGCCCAGCATGAGTTTAAGCCACCAGGTCCGGGACTCGAACTGCGGTTGACCACATGGCAGTCCAGCAACAAAGCCATTACACTAACTGCTGGTCCCTGCTGCTTTTTGCGCTCTGATTCGTTGTGATTGTGAACTTGGCCAACTCAGAAATCCTGCTACAAAATGACTCTTCTGCTTCTTTATCATTTCTTCCCTAGGAGGATGCTTTGCTGTGAAGGTGGGGACCATGGCTGTCTTTTTGTTTGTTTGTTTCTGAGCCCAAGAGTCTCTGGCAGGACCTGCTCACAGTTGGTGCTCTGTAAAATACTGGGTGAATCTCTGGTTCTCAGTCACCCCTCGTCCTCCTCTTTCTCCCACCATGCTGTGATTGCCCCGCCTGGCCTCCCCTCTGTCCTCGTGGGCATTTGCTCCTACTGTTTTTGGCCAGCAGAAGCAGCACCTCCTCCAGGAAGTGCTCCCTGAATCTCTGTGTCTTATTTCCCCGCCTCATGCCCCTACTCCAGCTCTGTTTTTTCCCTTCTTCTCATTGAGGATGCTCTGGGGAGTTGTCAGGTTTCTAGAGCTCTCTCCTCATAGCTGGGAGCTTGTGTCATGATCAATTTCATACCATTCATCCCACAAACCCTCACTAGGTGTCAGCTATAAACAGATCCTGGCGGCTCTGGGAAGGCAGAGCTGGACCGTAGGGCCTTGGTGCATAGGCTGGGGTCCGTGAGGGAGGGATGCCTGAGTGGTATCTCAGAAGGCTTCCTGGAAGAGGAGACAGGAGGGGGTCTGTGATTTCTGCAGCATGACTATCTGCTATCCTGTTGCCATAATGATATGGCCTCAGACAAATCCTTTTAACAGCTTCCTCCTAACCCCCGCCCCCTGCCTGCCACACACACACACACACACACACACACACACACACACA